TCTCACGCTGCTGGGCAAGCACGAGCTGGTGCCCGTGCTGGGCTCGCGCTGGCTCGTGGTCAACGTGGCGCACGACCTGCTGGCGGCTGCGCTCTACGGCGCCGCGACAGCCATCATGATCGACCAGACGCAGAGGCACAGCTACTGCAACCTCAAGAATTACCAGATGCCCTGCGCCTACCACGCCTTCCTGGGCGCCGCCGTCTGCGGGGGCCTCTGCCTGGGCCTCTACCTGCTCTCGGCGCTCTACAGCTGCTGCCGCCGCTACCAAGGCGAGCAGGAGGTGGCGTGAGACGCCCCCCGCGGGCGGGGGACCCTGAGGACACCAGCGCCCCAGCCCTTCCTGCCGCCCGCGCCCGTGCGCCCTGGCACCCTCCCTCGCGCTGCGTTCCCGCCACCGCCACCGCCCTCGCCCAGGCACCCGGACACCCAGACAGACACCCAGACACGCAGTTCCCTCCCGACGGCAGCGCCACCGCCCAGAGCCCGGACCGCTGCGTGGGATGCGCAGTCTCCAGGGGCCCGAGCAGGACGACATCCGCAGGGCGGACGCACACTCCCATTCCCCTCCCGAGGCCAGACCTCGCGGTTCCTCTTCCCCTTCCCCGCTGACAGCGAGACGTGGACAGGCGCCGCGTAGATCCGGTGGAGGCTCCCAAATTGTTGCCAGTCATCTGGCGGCGCCCCTGCCCCCTTCCTGCCGCCCCGCGCTGGGAAGAGCACCCCCTTTCCCTGGGCCCTCTGCCAGCCTGAGGGCTGGGAAAGGCAGGCATGTAGCCAGCCGTGGGCAGAGCTGGAGACAGGCCGCCACTGGCCCCGGGAGGAGCGACGAGTCTGGTTTTAGTTCGGGATTTTTCGGACATCCTGCGCCGGTCCTACCCGGCCCATCGCTTGGTGCTTTGATGTCTTGGGGTGGGGCCTAGCTCCAAAGGTGAGGATGGATGGTCAGGGCCTGTGGGCTGTATTCTTGCCTCTGTCTGTTCGCCTTTGTCCCCTCGGTTCATGGAGGCCAGACCCAAACGCACACTAGCTTTCCCAGCCTGACTCACAGGCCTCTGCTCCACTCCCACCTCCCAATATCTTTCTGCATTAGGGACCCCACAGGACCGCGGGGGAATGTTAGGGCGAGCTCCCTTCCGTTTTACAGAGGGAACCCTAGAGCTTGCTTGTAAGAAAAGCCAGAATAACGTTAGAACCTTGTCTCCCAGCTCCCCTTCCAGCGCTGTTGGAAACAGTGGTGTTCCCTGGGATCCTGCTCAGGAGTTACCCTCTCAAAGAGGGTTTCCAGGCTGAATGGGTTTGTCAAAGGTGCTATCCCCCCTTCCCGGGGAGTCACTGGCACATCCAAGGCTCCGAGAAGTCCTGCCGTAAAACCAGGCAATAAGAAGTGTTTCTTGCCCCTGGGCCTGGATCAGATTTTGCCACCTAAGGTTCCCCTGCAGTCTTGGCTTTCATTTCTTCCTAGTGGGCCCAACCCGTTGGTCTTTCTGAAGACTTGGGGTGCTCCCTCTTTCCCAGGGACTTTCTCTAGCAGAGGGAGGGCCCAGCCCATGAGGGAAAATAACTGCTCCTGGACAGGCCAGGGAGAGGCCTGGGACCTGGTGGATCGGAACATTCCTTTACATCGTTTGGGAAATGAAGCCAAAGTTACCCAGATGGTCTCCCAGTCAAAGGGAATGACACCTGCAAGAGAGCCTGGCTCTGCCTGTGACGGCGGTCACACTCACCGAGAGAGGAAAGCTCTGGCGCTGGGGTGGACAGCTGGCCCAGCCTCAGGAAGGTACGACACTTCTTTGTTTCCTGGAGGGGTCATGGGCCTTTGCATAAAAACACAGAACTCCTCTTTTTCTAAAAGTGAGAGGGTTTTATTCGGAGAGCAAGTGGGAGGGGCGGCCTTCATAACCACATGTCCAAAGAATTGTGATAATTCAAACTTTTTGCTAAATCCTTCAAAGGTCTGCTCTTTGGGAAAAAAAAAATTGCCGCTCTCTGGATTAGCAACTAGAATAGGGAGGCCAGAGTGTGTCTTTGTGAGCGTGTTTGTAAGGCTTAGGTGGAGAGGCATTAGGTTTCTCTGTTGTAGCTGTGAGGATCTGGGTGGGAGGGCACTTATGTAAGCTTTACTTGGTCACCATAGCATTTATCTAGTCCTCTGTGCCTGGCACTGCTCAAAGCACTAGATGTACAGGCAGCCCTCGGGTTACGTCGGAGATCCGTTCCTACGGCACGACATAACTCGATTTTCACCGTAAGCCGGAACCCATCTACATAAGCACCTATGTCACTCACACGGAGCACATACACAGCAGTAATGAAGTGAAACAGTAAAAAAAAATTTTTTTAATATATTTTATTGATTTTTTTACAGAGAGGAAGGGAGAGGGATAGAGAGTTAGAAACATCGATGAGAGAGAAACATCAATCAGCTGCCTCCTGCACTGGGGATGTGCCCACAACCAAGGTACATGCCCTTGACTGGAATCGAACCTGGGACCTTTCAGTCCGCAGGCTGACGCTCCATCCACTGAGCCAAACCAGTTAGGGCAGTAAAAAAAATTTAAAAGAAAGATAACAATTCCTGACCTTTACTTGTGGTAAATAAATAATAAAAAAATATAAAGCACATATGTACATACATCGAAATGACGGAACTTTTTTTTTTTTTATAAATAAATGGGAGATGGTGACATAACCACGAAATGACGTAAGGTAAGTTGAGTCCGAGGTAACCCAAGGACTTCCTGTATTCATTTCATCCTCTCAACAACCCTATTGAAGAGGGTTCTATTATTATTTCCTTACTAGAGGCCCAGTGCACGAAATTTGTGCATGGGTAGGGTCCCTGGCAGCTGGCAGCTGGCAGCTGGGGCCTCCCTTCCCCAGCTGCCGGCTGCTGGCCCAGCCTTCCTTCATTCCGTGCTGCCCCCTGGTGGTCAGTGCACGTCATAGCGAGTGGTTGAACTCCTGGTCGGTTGAACTCCCGAGGGGACACTTTGCATATTAGGCTTTTGTATATATAGATTCCATATAAGGAAAATGAGTCCCAGAGAGGTTGAGTAACTTTCCCAGAGCCTCCAAGGTGGAGCTAGGATTTGAACGCTGGCAGTTTGGCCTCTTCACGACCAGGCTTATGCTACACATAGTAAGGGGTCAATACATGTTAGATGCCGTTCACATGGTTATTTTAAAAATCACGTAAATTGTGATAAAATATACATAACAAAATTAACCATTTTTGAGTGGACAGTTCTGTGACACTAAGTACATCCACATTGTTGTCAACCTTCACAACCATCCATATCCGGAACTTCGTCTTATAAAACTAAACTCTGTTCCTATTCGAATTGGTTATCTTTGTTTTCTCTCCTCTGGGAAAGCCCAGACCACTGAGCCCTTCTGTGTCTCAGTTAGGCGGGCATGCTGCTGCCACACTCCGGGCAGGGTAACTGGTCCCTCAGCTCCCACCGCCAGTGCCAGCCAGAGCCTGGGGGGGGGGGGGGGCTTCGCTGGGATACTTGGGAGTGCCTCAGAGACCCAGTGACGTTGGTTCTTCTGTTGCAGGTTTCTGTGTTGCAGGAGCCATGGAGATTCCCAGGGATCCGGGCCTGTGTCAACACAGGGTTTCACAGCGGGGGAGGGAAGGACCTCTGCCCAGCAGCTTTCTGTCAGCACCATCCAGTGGAAAAACCAAGATGGGTGAAGATTCATTTCGCCTCAACATAAGAGAAATCCTGAGTGCTGTGACTTGGGCACAATATTCCAAACATCTGGAACTGAGCCGTGTGCCTCTGTACCCTAAGCAGCGGGTTTTGGCTCCAGCTTTTGTTCCTTTTCTCTGTTCTTATACCACCATCTAAACTGCATCCTCCGCTCAGATCCGGACCCCTGAGGATGCTGTCTTAGTCCCCCCAGCCCATGGTGCTCGGTCTGTGGTCCAGTGACCCTACTCAGGAGCAGATTTCTCCTTGGCCTTCATGGTACCTTATTCACCCAGATGTGCCTGAAATATTTCAATGCTCACTGGCTCTTCCAGATGTGCCTTGTGCTTGGCCTCCCACTGCTTCTCCAGATGTGAGAAGGGTGTGTAATATGGCCCCACATCCTCCCCTCCCCCTGGAGGCCCTGTGCCATGGGAATGGCCACCTGATCTGGCCCAGAATGTTTGGATACTGGAGTCTATCTCTGGCTTCTCTCTCTGGACTCCAGGACTCAATCTAGCCCAAGACCACTGTGGGCTGCTCCCAGCCCAAAGCCTAGGACCACTTGCAGACCCAGGAGAGGATTTTTCCAGCGTTCTACAATGCTCAAAAGAAAGGGTGGAAATGGGAGGGCTGAAGGCTGGTAGGGAGAAGGGACCAATGTGCCTCATTTAAGAGTCCAATGGTGATTACTAATATGCTTTTATGAATAAAGTTTAGTTTGACTGATCTTGTGTGTGTGTCTTCTCTCCTGGCCCCCAGCAGTAACCCTCTGTGCCAGGCCCCCTGCCTCCCTCCACGTTCTCATTACGCCACACTGCCCTGTTGTCTGCCCTCCCGGGTTCCCTCTCCTGGATAGGAAGGAAAAATGAGTTCACAAATTCTCAGTGCATCTGGGGCAAAGCACAGGAACCAGAGGGGGGAAAACTGCCGGTGTCTGTCCCTGACGGAAGCCAGAGGGAATTCTAGGGACCTTTCCCAGCTCTCAATAGGCCCTCCGATTGGGAAGCTTCATCGCCTGATGGGTAGACACAGAATGGCCATGGTCATGGAGCCAGAAGGATCCTGTTGTGTAACCCCCTCATTTTACAGAAGGAGAGATGAACCCCAGGATGGGGTGGCAACTTGCCTTAAGTCACAGAGTTGAGTAGGGGTCGAATGGGATCTCTTGTAGCCCAGGCTCTGGTTCTTTTGTGCAGAGCACTGTGCCTGCTCTGGTGTTGGCTCCTGGACGCGCCCTACCTCTTTTCCCCCTGCTTCTAGCCACAGCTTGCTGACTCAGATGCCCTGCAAAGGGTGGGAGGGCAGTTAACAGGCTTCCTTGCTGGCTCTTCCCTCCTGTGCCCTGGGCGTGAAGTCTGCAGCCAGGACACAGGATTCGACTGACAGAGTTCAAAACACATTGAATAGCTCCAGGCAGGGATTTAATGCTGTGTGTGCTCCACACCCACTCTTTCAAAGCACCCTCCCAACACACAACACACACACACACCCTCCTCTTTGTGGTTTGGGCTTCCAGGGTGGAGGAAAATACCACCAGCTTCCAAAGATCCTTCCTTACTCCTTTTTTCTCTCTGTGTCTATTTATGGATTTCACTCCAATGAAAAGTGGCCTCCCTCTCTGCAAAGGCTGTTAAGTTCTCTGCTCTATTTTGTCTCGGTGAAATATTTTGCCATTGAAAATGTGCTTCTACTTGCATTGCCTTATATGATCTTGTCAACAGTCTTAGAAACTGGCACTGATGCTCCATTCAGTAGGGAAAGTGGAGCCCCATGGGGAGAAGGGCCGTATCCATGGTCACACAAGCAGCGGCAGGACCGGGGCTGGAAGATAGATGTTCTCACCTCCAGCTGCCGGCTGCTAAGCCCCGTGGACCCCTGGCAAGCTCTAACATTTAGGTGGAGTTTGTTTTTCCCACCTGGCGAGCAGGTGTTCAGGCATGGTTAATCTGACATTTCCCGTTTAATGCTGGGGCACACTGAAATAGGATACTACTCCTCAGGGGCCTCATTGAGCCCGTTTGAGTCTGAGGAATACAAGGGATTTGCTCATTTATGTCCATTACTTTTCCTGCTTTTCTAGGGATGGGAGTGGGATCATTGATGGTGAGGAAGGAGGGTTAAAACATTAATATTTTCAGGGATATAAAGAAAGAGCAGGGATATAAGAGAGAAAGGTCTGGTTAACACTATGTTTTTATCATTTTGTTTGTTATGGAAGTGATGTGTAAAATAAATACCAGTATATACCCAGTATAATAGCAATATATACCCATTAAAAAGTTAAACTGTCCAGAAGTATACAAAGTAAAATGACAAGACACTTGATCATCCTAATCTCATGCCCTGGAGATAAACCGCTGTTAACTCTCCTTCCTTAATTTCTATAACTAATCAAAAGCACACACATTTCCCTATGTTCATTCAGATTCTTCTACAGTGTTCTCTTATGACAAATCATAGTTCTAACCCTTTGGGTATGTGTGATAAATACAATAATATACTTTACCCTTTCTAAACGTCCATATGAATAGTCAGGGACGGTAGGGATTTTGTGGCCTTTCCGGAACCATTCTAACTTTCTCACTTTGGTTAACTTCCTTGGCTGCTCCCGATAGGAATCGGAGTTAAACCCTTAAAATTCGAGCCCTTTTATACCGACGAGGCATAGAGGCTCCGGAGGTGAAGTGGCTTGCCCAGGTCGGTGCTCATCTTACCCCCCACAGCCAAGAGTAGAGAGGAAGGGAGGGAGCCTGGGCAGCAGGAGGGCGTGAGCCACCACACCCACCTCACCAGCCTGTGGAAATGACAGTCTGGCTCCTACTCTGAAGGCCCCTTTGTTCACCCTGTTCCTGGATCCTTCCTTTGAACTGGGTGGCTGTTTGGGATCTTGCAGGCACCAAGGCTGAGAAGTTCCTTCCCCAGCACGGAGGTGAGGGGAGGCAAGTCCCTCTGGCTTCATACCTGCCTCTCCCTAGGGTGGGATGCCGGTTCTCCCTCCTGCTATCGTCAGGAGTCCTAAAGGGGGCGCTCTGACGCCCGGGGCCCGTAAAGCACTTCCGAGTCAAGGCTGGGAAGAGGGGAGAAAGGGAACTAACTTCATGCAGTGCCTGCGGTGAGCCAAGAACATGATGAATACCTTATGTAACATCTCTGACCGTCCACACGAGCCCCTGAGGTTTTAAATGCCCCCATTTAACAGACGTGGAGACAGGCTCGGGCACTTGATCTGCGCAGGGCACTGCGTGACCGAAACAAGATTCAAACTCAGGGCTGTTACCACCACATGCTGTTTCTGAAGATTTCCCAGCAGATAAACGGTTTCTCCCAACTATCCAAAGTCTGCACCCCGACCTACGCCGGGCTTTGTGATAGTTATACCCTGAGCTAAGGCAGGAAGGGAAGACTGTAGAGAAAGTTATTACAAATCTGAATTACATCAGCTTCTCTCTTCCCAGTTTATAATGAAATCGGATAGTTACCTTTCTGTTTAATCAGCTCGCTGTGCTGAGGTCATTCTCCTAGTCCCTGGAGACAGTCCCCCTTCTGTCTGCCAGATGTTAGAAGGACTTGCAAGACTACCCCTCCTCCCAACACTCCTCCCTCTCAAGGCCCAGGGCCATAGGTATGCGCCCGACCTTTTGGGTCCCTAACCTCTCAGCCTGTCCTGTACTCTGCTGTCTCTTTCTGTGTCCCCTAGGCCAGCGGTCGGCAAACTCATTAGTCAACAGAGCCAGATATCAACAGTACGACGATTGAAATTTCTTTTGAGAGCCAAATTTTTTAAACTGAAATTATATAGATGGGTACATTGTTATTAACTTAATTAGGGTACTCCTAAGGCTTAGGAAGAGCCACACTCCAGGGGCCAAAGAGCCGAGTGTGGCTCGCGAGCCGCAGTTTGCCGACCACGGCCCTAGGCAGTTAACATGACTGGCCCTAATTGTTGGGTGAGCTCACCCGGTGAGGTCAGAGGTGAGCCTAAATCTCTCCCTACTTGTCTGGTGTTAGGCAGTTTACTGAAGCTCTTTGTGTCTCAGCTTCGTCACCCACTAGATGGGGATAATGCCGGTACCTACCTCACTGGGCTGTTGAAAGGGCTTGATGAGGCCATGCACATAGAGCAGAGGGCCTGGCGAGCAGAGCGTCAGTGCAGTTCAGCTCTCAGCAGCGCAACGCTGTTGGGAGGACTTCATGAGATAGTGTTTGTAAGACACCGAGCCTGAGCTATAGCAAGTGCTCATCCTTGTTCATTCCTTTCTCTCCCGGCTCTCTCCCCACCTGGGGAATGACAGTCTCACCATGGACGGATCCCTCTACTGTTCTTTCTTGTATCTGGATTTGAGCTTTCTTGAAAAGATGGCACAGAAGTGTTAACAATTGTTACCCACCTGAAGGTCGAACCTTCTTCTCTGTAGAATCCAAGGTCCTTCTTACCCCTCCTTTTACTCCCTTTTGCAGTCCGCGGACTGTACCTCCTTTCAGCCTGGGAGAGCTCACTGTTCATCTTGTTTCCTGGGGTTCCAGTCCATCTGGAGAGATGAACTGACCACAAGTTCTCAGATGTCAGTAGTGGACGTTCACAGACTTCCCTCATTACATGTTTGCAGGATCTTCCATGATTGCATTCAAACTAAAATTTGTCCAGGCACAGGGGGCATTTACAGGAACAGCTGTGTGCTTGGCTTCCCTAGCCGTTGCATATTTGAGCATTTCACAACATGTCTTTCCTCACTTCCCTGGTAAACTGTGTGATAGGTCACCTTTTCCTCCCAGCTGTCCCTGGGAACGGGTGAACTTGCTGGGTTTGTTTTTTCTTTCCTTTTCTTTTAAAATTCTTTATTGTATTTATGTATTTAAAGTATTACATAATACTAACCGGTTTGGCTCAGTGGATAGAGTGTCAGCCTGTGAACTCAAGGGTCCCAGGTTCGATTCCGGTCAAGGGCATGTACCTTGATTTCGGGCACATCCCCAGTAGGGAGTGTGCAGGAGGCAGCTGATCGATGTTTCTCTCTCATCGATGTTTCTAACTCTCTATCCCTCTCCCTTTCTCTCTGTAAAAAATCAATAAAAATATATTTAAAAAAATAAAGTATTACATAAGTCTCCTTTTTCCCCCATGGACCTCTCCCCAGTTGCTCCCATCCTCCAGCACATACCCTCACTCCTCTCTTGTCTGTGTCCATTGGTTATGCTCATAGGCATGCATATAAGTCCTTTGGTTGATCTCTTACCTCCCACCCCCCACCTTCCCTCTTAGGTTGAAAGGTCTGTTCGATGCTTCTGGCTCTATTTTTGTTCATCTGTTTATGTTGCTCATGATATTCCACAAATGAGTGAGATCATGTGATATTTATCTTTCTCTGACTGGCTTATTCACTTAGCATAATGCTTTCCAGGTCCATCCATGCTGTTGCAAATGGTAAGAGTTCCTTCTTTTTTGCAACAGCATAGTATTCCATTGTGTAGATGTACCACAGTTTTTTAATCCACTCATCTGCTGATGGGCACTTAGGCTGTTTCCAAATCTTAGCTATGGTAAATTGTGCTGCTATGAACATAGGGGTGCATATATCCTTTCTGATTGGTGTTTCTGATTTCTTGGGATATATTCCTATAAGTGGGATCACTGGGTCAAATGGGAGTTCCATTTTTAACTTTTTGAGGAACTCCATACTGTTTTCCACAGTAGCTGCACCAGTCTTTATTCCCACCAGCAGTGTACAA